CTATATGTTCGATACATTTCCTCCATCGTTCTTCAGTTATTTGCTCGATAGCTTCATTCATTAAAATTCGCACATCCAACAGTCTGAATGTTGTGTTGTGACGTGCGATGTAACCTTTCATATCTGCCCATATCAATTCAATAGGATTTAATGATTTTATTACAGTTAAGAAAGTAGCTAGCTCCGAGATGTATAGATATAGATGTATTCGTTTCTCATTGAATACAGTGGGAGAGTTGAATGAGAGTTATAATCAACGCCCTTGAAAGTGACACAAAAAGAAAAAAAAAACATTAAAATTTATTTCTTCGAATTTCAAAGTGAAAAATATGATTTATTAGACCATCTGCAATACAATTCTCGTGAAACTGTTAATAAAAAGGTATAGGCCTATATTAAGTATTCAAACATTTAAAATTTTTGAGTTTCCCTCTCTAGGATACTTCTCGATCTACACAGGCTGACTAATGCCGTAGGAAATGTTAAAGTAAAAATAACTTAATCTTATTCGAATGTGTTTAGTTGTCTAATCACACTGAAAGGGGTCAATACTCAACAAGGGAATAGAACGCTATAGATTAACTAAAACTGCTCGATTAACTAACTGTCTGTATGTGCTAAGTTACTAAATGAAAGGATAGAGAGGTTGCGGCCGAAGTTTTAACGTTAATCTTGTACGGCAAGAAGTACAAGTTTGACGTTTCAAGTCCAAACAAAGCACGTTGGACCACACGCTGACGTTGCGCACTGATTCAATGGATGTTGTTGAAAAATGGCATAAAGATTTAAGAACGACCAAGGTTACCAGCGAAAGTAAATAAACAAATTGAACTATTTAAAAATGTTTAGAAGATGTTTAATAATAGTAAATAATTATTTTTACTTTAATTAGCGTCGTGTTTCCTACCGTACGATATAATAGTAGAACAATTCCAATGCGCATTGCCTGTTTTCACCACATACTTTTGTTGATGGAAGTAGTGGCTTATATAAATCTGTATGTAGGTTAAAAAATTATTTTTAGACAAATACAAACGTATTACGTTGTTCATGGTAAAAGATATCGTGAAAGAACAAACCTACTTCAGCAGAATTATGATAACCTGTTATGAACACAAATATATAAAAATTCCATAAGCTCTTTACGTCACTTGCAAAAAAATTGAATAATTAAATAATTTCTAGATTAAAATCGTCTGTTTCTTTACAATGTTATTCATAAATGCTTAAATAATCGTTATTTTAATAAAATACGTCATAATTTTAACCCAAAACACAGAAAAATGCAGACGTTTAAGCCGAATTTTCACCCGTCACGCTCGACATTCCAAACACCAATGTCAAACTTCTAGGCTTACAGGAAAGCGGCACTGAACGTCCGACGTTCACGTTTTCACTTTGAAAACAACGGCCTCAATATCGCTATTATTACTATAATATATACATTTACATCTCATAATTGCTGTTTATTCAAGCTAAATAACTCACATTTATAAGATAACCTGAAACCGTGTATACAAACTATTTTCATTCTGTTAAAATGTTAATTAAATAGTATTCTTATAACATTTTATGATGTGAGACTACGAGGGCACAGAGTCAGTACCCAAATTGCTACTAACACGTCAAGTTGGTAAAACTCTCCCATTTTATCTTTTGGATGGGCTTTTAACGATTTGCAAGGGAGGTGTGAGGACCCGAACAGGGGTCGACTGAGAAGTCCGAATTATGGGTGTCGATTTAAAATAAAGAGCTCCTTTTCAGACGCTAAGGAAACGGATTAGGTGTCTCGATTGAACAATGCAATTGTTTTTTTCGGAAAATTATTTAAACAATGGAAACGGATAAATTCGAGGAAAACGCGACGAGAGAGAGGATCATATTCAGTCGCTATTTTAACCTCTCCCGCGCCCTTCATTAGGTTTCGAATTGTCACCAGGTGACTATGAGAGACCAATGGAGAGGCGGCTGCTGTAAAAAAATCTATAAATTTGTGGGATTCAAGAGATAAAGGTTCTTGGTTCTTTGTGCTTGGATACGTAGTGTTTCGTCTCCGGGACGGGCGTGCTCCAGATCTTAGAAAAAAAGGGTCATTTTGGGAACATCATGGAAGCATCGTTCTCTGGGTTCCTCCTAGCAATCGACAGATTCGTCGGTTCGTCCACGAGAAGCCGCCGAAAGCCGTGATCAACGCCCCGGGGCCTACCGAGTGTTTCGCCGGCAGCGTCCATCCACTAGTAACGAAATCCGGCTTTTTCGAACTTTATTTCGGACTTTATCCGTGCGCTTTGGGGTGCTACCTCGTCTAGCAAGTAATTTGTAAGGAAAATTTCTATGTTTAATAAACGGTGTTATGGTAAACCTGTCTCAGGAAGTCATTCTGCGCCCACATGACAGAACGAACCGCTCGGCTGTCGAAATACCTCACCCTAATCGGCTGACCTCACAGAGGTGATCAAGTCGGCAGTTATTTTTGGATAGACAGGAGAAAGGTTTAACAAATAAAACAAGCATTTATTATATTACTAACTATAAGACACAGGATTCTACACAAAGTTCGATACATAGACAGGTTATATGCGGCTACTTGCGATTATATAGTCTAATATTTTACAGAAGTACTATCTACCAGCTAGGCCTAATTTGCGAGAAAAAGAGTGAGAGAGTTCGCTGTCCACTGATAATTAGCTCTGATGTTAGAAGAGAGCTATATGCGGCGATAACAGTCCTATGTAGAAGCATTGGACGTCATCGATGTTTTCTCGCTCAGGATCGGGATGGGAGACCAAGATGTACACCAATCAGTGGCGTAGCGTGGGTGTCAGCCGCCCGGGGCGGAAGAAAATTTTGACCCCCTTATTTAGGTATCTCAATTTAATACTAAAATTTAGTTTCGTCACAGAATAAGTAATGAAAAATTCCGTGCTAGTGTTGCCACTTTTTTAAAATCGCTGACCCGGAAGGCAGGTGAGGTTCGTGTCAGGAACTTCGAACAGAAGTTCCTGACGCATGCGTATGTCATTTTGCAATGCGAAGAATAATTTGCAGTGCATGCTGGTTCTAAATCAGTTACAGTTAGCGAGTAGGGAGACTTGGATAGGAGTAACGCAAGTGACCTAGCTCTATTGGATATTGAAGATGTAGATATACAGTAATACCTCAGGATACGATATTAATCCGTTCCGAAACTGAGATCGTATCATGAAAATGTCGTAAGGTGAATCATTTTTCCCCATACGATTACATGTAAAACCAAATAATTCGTTTCAACACGAAAAACANGGATACGATATTAATCCGTTCCGAAACTGAGATCGTATCATGAAAATGTCGTAAGGTGAATCATTTTTCCCCATACGATTACATGTAAAACCAAATAATTCGTTTCAACACGAAAAAAACACTCAAATTAAAGCTAAGTTGTACATTAAAAAAATAACTATAGTAAGGAAAATACTGAAAAATGCGTTTTGTAGTTGTAAATGTATAAATAACCATAATAGAATAATAATTGATTTAAAGAAAAATGTAGTTTTATTTGCACTTTACCTTTGAGGATAGACGACGGTGGAGGTGTAAACTGGTAGCGGAAGAGTGGGAGAAGGAAAATGATACTGAAACTTAACTTACATAACATAATGTAACAATAACTTAAAAATAACTTAGAAAAGATTAAAAAATTAGTGTTGTTTTATATATTTTTTTAAAATTTTTATTCACTGCTTTTTTCTTTCTTTCCTTCACTTTCACCAGCACTTTCACTGGATAGAGGTCTCTTGGTAAAATATCTATCCAAAGAGGTTTGGCTTTGCCTACTTTTTAAAATGTTTGTAAAATAACTTAGGCAAATATCATTACTCCGAGCGGCAATACGGCCAGTGTGAATCTTTTCGTGGTGTTTCTTTTAAATAAAATCAGTCACTTTCTGATAATACCTGAAGATTTCCTTTATCGAGCGAGATCCTTCCACGTCGAAGCAAACACGCGGACTGAGACCGCTGCGAACTAATGTAACGTCGTATGGTGTGGTTTTGTTCATATCGTGGTCAAAAATATGTTCGAATTTCATGTCGTATCCTGAAAATTTTGTATGCTGGGGCGTTCGTATCCTGAGGTACCACTGTATATGAATAAATCGTACAAGCAAAAAATAAATAAATAAATAAATAAAGGTCGACAGGTCGCGCACGACATTCCCGGACGGCGAGTCGATTCCCGGACTGTCCGGATGGTATTCCGTGCTCATTTCAATCGGTCCGAATCTTAGGTGCACGAAAATATGAAATAAAATGGTTCAAATTCATACAAGATATTATTATTTATTGTGAAATTTTGCCGCCCCCTAAAAAGTGCCGCCCCTGCCGCCCCCACTACGCTACACTACTGACACCAATACCAAAAACAACTTCCAAGTGCAAACTCCCGAGCTTCCAGTAGCTCTCACTTTTATACTATTGTCATGCGTCCTTAGCTTCAACTTGTGTTTCACTAGACATCAATTTCCAAAATGCTGGAAACATGCTGTTGTGAAATTCATACCCAAAATAGGGTCTCCCAACTCAGTAAAAGCCACAGATCTGAGGCCAATTAGCCTTCTGCCCATACTGGGCAAGGTTCTCGATGGACTTCTAATCAATAGGATTAACTACCATCGCATGAATAACAACCACCTGCATCCCCATCAATTTGGCTTTGTCCAAGGGAGCTCCACCTATCATGCTATCCACAGGGTAATCCAATTCATAGGCAGTGCCTGGAAAAACGAAGAGCACGTAGTGTTGATCTCAATAGATTACAGGAACGCATTTAACTCTCTGTGGTGGCCATCCCTTCTTTCGCAGCTCAAAACTTTTAACTGTCCACAAAACCTATTCAAGCTGCTCACCAGCTATCTGAAGGACCGTACTGCTGGTTTTCACGAGTTGGGCACACCTGTCCTCTGGCCTGTTGCCCGGGGTTGCCCCCAGGGTTCCCGTTCAGGGCCCGGCCTTTGGAACATCATGTACAACAGCCTTCTTGACATTGTTCCTAACACGACTACCGGCACCTGGGCTACCCAGGGTTATGCCGACGATACCTTGGTTATGATGTCCAATAAAAACAGTAAGTAATTGCTGCAATATGCCAATTCTTTTCTTAACCAAATTTTAGAGTGGAGCAACTTTAATAAACTATCCATTAACCTAGATAAGACTACCTGCATGCTAATGTCGAAAGGGACTCAACTCAAGAAACCACACACAATCAAAATAGGAGGCACTAGTATAAGATACAGTGATAGCATAAAATACTTGGGCATTACTATCGATCGGAGTTTGAATTGGAATATTCACATAAAAAACGCTTGTGACAAGGCCATAAAACTTTCGAACCTTCTCTGCTTTCTCGCAGGAAAAAACTGGGGCCTCAACAGCAAGAACTTAACAAATATCTATCGCCTGGCCATAGAGCCGGCCATCCTTTATGGCGCGCCCTTTTGGGGGTCGCAGTGGATAAAGTTTACGTAAAGCGTAAGCTTCTAAAGGCTCAACGTGTCAGCCTCCTCAAAATCACCAAGGCCTACAGGACTGCCCCCACATCTGTCCTACAGGTGATTACTGGCATCCCTCCAATACATCTAAGCGTAAAGGCCAATGCAGCTAGTTGGTATCTTACCAACCTCAGTCTCTCAGATCGTACGAAGACTGAGCTAATAAGTTATCTAAATATTGGCATCCTTCCCAGCCTGGATATGCAACAAACCCTCATGCTTAACCACAAGAACACCCAAGTTACTCTTCACAGGCATTGCAGGCATCCTGCTTTATCTCCTACCGTCAATCTTCTCACTGATGCTAGTGTTTCCAACATCAACAATGCCAACACCATCTTCACAGATTGGTCTAAATCATTTTTTGGTACGGGTGCTGCCATCGTGCACAGAAATAGCAACTGTACACATCCAGTCCACAAAAAGGGTTTTAAACTTGCAGATCACTGCTCTATTATGCAAGCAGAACAGTACGCCATCTACAAAGCATTGGTCTACATCAACAATTCCAATCAGCTCCACGGGAAGCAGGTCTGCATCTGCTCTGACAGCCAGGCCGCTCTCTGGAGCATAAGCAAGAAAACCCAGTGTAACTATCTCCACCAACTCATCATAGACGAACTGAAGAAAAGCAAAAGCAACCTCGTCTACTTTTCGTGGACCCGCGCACATCAAGGTGTAATAGGAAATGAGGAAGCAGATGTGCTGGCTAAGGAGACAGCCACTTCTCCTGTTACACCAAGCTTTGATGACATCCCAACGGTGACTGTCAAAAATCTCATTAGAGAAACGCTCATCCACATGTGGCAGAGGGAATGGGAAGAGGCGGACACTGGTAAGACTACCTTTAAATTCCTGCCTAACATTTCCAACCGTCTCTCTCTCAACCACATAAATGGCAACCATTTCACCAGCCAACTCCTCACTGGCCATGGGAACTTTCGCCAATATCTCAACAGATTCCACCACAGCGATACCCCCTTCTGTCAGTGTGACAATGGTGCTATAGAGGATCCCCTGCACTTCATTTTTGATTGCAACCTCTATGACACACAGAGGGATCAACTCATTCACAAAGCCCTCATTGAAGGATTCAACTGGCCCTGCACGCCCGATCTCCTCATCAACAACAGTGCCACCTACAATGGACTTATCGATTTTATCCGGGAAACCGGCGCCTTAAATCCAAACTTTACCAACCGGCATCAGACAAGGGACTCTTCACACGACAGTTGACCTCTACACCAGGGGATGTGTCATAACCGGCGAAACATGCACCCGCTTGTAACTATCACCATTTTCAACTCCGGTTTTTATATTTATTCTATAACCACAAAGCTTTTCTTTCATATGTAACACGCCATAATTACGTGTACACTCTTTCTTTTCGCATTCCGCACATGTATCCACCTATTTATATTACTGTGTTGTTCGCGCTGACAATGTAAGATTTCTCTCATCTTCACTATCTTTCCTATCACACTTCTACCCCCCTCATCCATTACCTCTTCTCCCTTTTTTTTTCACCCAGGCGATACCCCTGAGTAGTCCTGGTCTTCCGCCCCTTTCATTAAAAATAAAAAAATTAAAAAATAAAAAATTACTATTGTCATGGGAAAGGGGTCACGTGATCGTCAAATGTTGACGATGACGAAGCATTTTTGACAGAAAAGTGTCAACTTTCCCACTAACTTGTTAATAAAACTGGTGACCTCTGATCTGATTTTCCGTTTTGTTTCTATCGGGGATATTTACATTTTCCAAAAACGATTAACATTAATTTTAATTTCGATTAACATCAATTTTAAAATCCCCTTTAAAATCTGCGGGCTCACAATGACTATTATAAAAATAATGTATTGTGACGTGATATAATGTGAATTTTTTAAATAAAATTAAAGAGCGAACATTTTCACACATTTAATTTTTGAATTATCAATTTTTAATTATAATCGAATAATTACTTTAATTTCAGGTTGATCTAGTTGATGTATATAATGTAACAGGAATGACATACAGAGGAAACAGTACGAAGCCTGTAGAATTTTATGTTAGTTATTCGTTGCATGAAGGAATGGCTCTACATGATTTTATTCCAGACGAGGTAAATTTCTATATGTATATGTATTTAGTTTATTATTAATAGTACACTTTATAATATTAGTTTATGAAAACTATTTAATAATTCATCGNCTGTAGAATTTTATGTTAGTTATTCGTTGCATGAAGGAATGGCTCTACATGATTTTATTCCAGACGAGGTAAATTTCTATATGTATATGTATTTAGTTTATTATTAATAGTACACTTTATAATATTAGTTTATGAAAACTATTTAATAATTCATCGAGTTTTTAGCATCTCGCGAGAAATTACGTATTATATAAAGGTAATATAGTCCTATAAAGATGTATATTTGGAAAAATCTAATAACTGTACTTATCATATAATAAATTTTACAAAAAAACAAATTTACCATCAATAGAAATTCTTGAGTCTCGCCCACAATGTGACACAATTGTTTTTGTTTTTACTTTTTATTTAAAAAGCTTTAATTAAACATAAAAAATACTTAAAACTGAAAAAAAACAAAAGAAATGCGTTAACTTTGAAGAGAAAGCTTCGATTTTTATTTTCCATTGTCTCTCCTTTCAGCAAAATTTGACACCGATGAGTAATTGTAAGTCGGTAAACTAGAACTTTAGAACAATGAATGAAATTTGATTAAAAAATCCCATAAAAAACAATTAAGCGTTAATCGTGCGTCATTAAAGGTAGATTAAAATCGTGATAAAATTTTTTCACGTGGAAAAAAATTTTTGTAAAAAATTTGAAGACTTAAAAAACATCCAAAAATCAGAAAAAAAATTTCCTGGAGCTCCATAAGACCGTTTGTTTGTAACGCTATGGAATCTGCTCGAGAGTGGTTCGAGCAGGTTCCATAGGATATAGTAAAACGTTTATTACTGCATACATTTTGTTACAAGTATTCTGCACATATGGGGGCAGAAGAGAAAAAAAAGGAATTTCGAACCTTTTAAATACTGAGAAACTCATACCTTTCGATGTTTAAACATAGACTTTATACATATAAAACGAATGGTCTGTGAAAATATAGATGGTCAAACGTGTACTTGAATTTAAATTTTCAACGAAAATGTTAAAAATAGGAAAATACATGCCATTGTCTGTAAACAGAAACTATTTTAACATGGCAAATACAGAAGACATTAATGTAGATCTTAATCCTCTTTCAAACTTTACTTAAATTACTCTACCTTTCTTATAATGTAATTCAAAAGAGAAAGTTAAAAACATAACATATGCTACAAAATAATTTTTATTATTTTTTATTATTGAAAAACCCATTCATATTAAAATGTATCTATGATAATTATTCATGAAAATACTATACGTGTTCGATATATAATAAATGATATAAAGTTATTATTGTTATATATGATTAAGTTCAGTAAATAATAAAGAAAATTTAAAATGGCTAGTATGTGCTGTAACTCATTTGTATTATATTAATAATTTTTAATAGAACCCTCTGTTTATCCGTAGTAATCAGACCGATGCTACCACTGATAATCGAATTCATGCTGCAATGAATAAATTGCAATACTGTTACAATCATTTTTTTCTGATAATGACATTTGTGACAATTAAAAAAGAAAAAAAAAGAAAAATTTTCTAAAACTAATTTCATCTACATTGATTTTTTGTTTTCATTTCTACCATTTTCTACTTTTTTGTTTTAAATATACAAATATAAAATTTAATTATAATTAGTAAAAATGTTTTTGTGTAATTATACAATGCAATTTCGTTTTTTTACTTGCACTAGTTTCAAAATTATTTTAATTTAATACTGTATTTAAAATTTAAATCTGTCAACTTAAGAATTTGTGGCATTCCTGGTTATTTTTTTATTCCTTCATAAGTATAAAGTTTATAAAAAACCGGTTCAATTGCAGATATTTTTACAAGATATTCTAACAAACAAAATAAATTTAATTATACTTATATACAGTAGATTCATTTATTAGTCTATGTTGTATTTAACTGATTCCAAGCTGGCGTTTTTTTATATTTTAAATAATTTTAATTAAGAAAACGATAACGAATTAACTAGCAACAAATTTAAGTCATCTAATTAAAGCAACTAAATTCCTTTCGTTGATCAATACATTTTCGTTTTTATTTATTTTTGTTTTCAATTTTCTTTGTCGACATAAAATCGATGTCGGCTTATAATCGAATAAATACGGTAAATTATTTAAATTATTTATTTGTTAATGATGAATTAGGCAATAAATTAAATAAAATATTTATTTAATACAATCAATAATAGTATTCTAGTTTTCTGATCAGGTAATTAAAAAGTGTTAATTTAATAGTTAGTGTGATAAAACTAATAAAAAGATGTAAGCCATAAAAATGTTTCAAGTGGATAAAAATTTTAAATAGCTATAGGGGAAATACGGACAAAATGACATATACGTACAAAATGACATAGGCACCATAATTTGAATTTGGCAGTCTCAAGCGCACAACTGACCATGACACCATGTTATACGAGCGGCTTTTACTAACCTGTCAAAATGTGAACGCACTGCTCTCATTGTCCGGGTGTCATGGCCGTCGACAAAAAATGATACGTTACGAGTTTTTTTCCTGGCAACAAGTTTTTTTGTATAGATGGTAAGTTTTTCACTATTTTATCTACTTGTGTAGCATTTATTTCAACCCTCAAGAATTTGTTGTTGCACTTAAATAACTTTTTCCATTAAAAATAACATCTTTGTATTTATTTTATAATTTTGTTTTTTTATAACGTTATATGGACAAAACGACATACATAGGCAACGGACATAATGACATACCTGTCATTTAGTCCATAAGAGCTTAGTCAAGGAACTTACCTTAATCTCTTAACGTTTTATTAATTATAAAAAATGGCTTCCAAACAAAGTCTTTCATTATTGTTTAAAAGAAATTTTAGTATAAAACTTTATTTCCTTTCTTACATATTATTTACAAACTTATTATCTTTCACATAACAAAAAACTTGCAACGAATCACGTGACTCGACAAACCTCTTTAGTTTTAACTTCTACTCCTAATATGAAGGCAATTAAATCAAAAAATGAGTCCAAAGCTCCGCCAGAGAAAAGGAGACGAAACATTACTAAAAAGTTACTTGAAGAAGAAAATTTTCCTAATAACTCTCATGATGATGAAGAAGACTGTCCATGCATATATTGCGATGATCTTTTTTCCCGATCTAAGCCTGGAGAAGACTGGTTACGGTGCTTAAATTGTTTCCGTTGGGCTCACGCTTCTTGCGCTGACGTTTCTAAAAGAGCCAAGCGTTTCATTTGTAAACTTTGTCAGTAATTTTATAGTTTTTACGTGTATGTCATTTTGTCCATAGTGGATGATCTCGATTAAACTAACAATATTTTTTTCCTATTATTTTAATATTGTAAATGTTTAGTATATTTCATAGGTAAAAAACCAAAGATGATTGGTGTAAAATATGACAGTGCTGTGATTTACCAATAAAGAGTTATGAACCTAAAATAAAACCGTATGTCATTTTGTCTGTATTTCCCCTACTTGTTATTATCAAACTTTTAATGTAATATAAATATAGACAAACACAAAAAAAACTTTCTGTAACTAAAACACATAACATGTTGATTTATATTTCCGTGTTTTTCTATGTAAATATTTATAGCTTTATATGTATAATGTTTACTTGGGTAGTGAAGGGATAGATGCAAGAAGGGAAGTTGCATTTCAGCAACTTCTGTTCTTGCATCTATCTGCCACAAATATGATTTTATTTTAATACAGGAGCCCTATTGTCTACATAATAACCCGGCATGCTTACCAACCCGCAATTCAATTCTTAAGGGCACTGAAAACTATTCATGGACAATTAATATTATTACTAACATGAATTTTACTATCCTTCATCACAAGATCTTGTCGAATGAATACATTGTATGTAATGAAATTTATTTTAATAAAAATACTTACATAATTATCAATATTTATTGTTCATGCGACATGAATCTGATTATTATTATTGACAAACTACAGAATCTAATTAATAAATTTCATAATCTCGGTTTATCATTGCAGGGGACATAAATGCACATTCACCTGCATGGGGCGGTTATCAGCATGACGACCGTGAATGCATTTTTGAAGATTTTATAGGCACTAATAAATTACAATTATTAAACAATTCGCTATCCCCCCACTTATGTAACTAGTTATGGGGAAACATGGATAGATGTTGCATTATGCAGTTCAGAATGTATAACTGAGTTAGAAAACTGGAGAGTTCTCGCTGAAAGTAGCTTCAGTGATCATGCTTACATTTCATTTCAGCTTAAAAACAACGACAGTGCACAAACTGCCTCCGTGGATAAGCCTAGGTTTAATCTAGCTCTGGCTGATTGGGAAGGTATGCTCTGCTATCTATCAAACAATCTATTGACATATAATAATATCAATAATATTACTAACAAAGAAATCATCGAACAAACTCTCGATTCTAATATCAAGACAATTGAACAAGCATGTCATAGATATATTCCTAAAACAAATCCTAGATTGAAATCTGTACCTTGGTGGAATAACGAGCTCACTGATCTTCGAAAAACAAATAATTACCTGCGAAGAAGATATCAAAAATGTCGAAATGAACCAAATCGTACTATATTTAAACAAGAATATTATACACATCAAGTCTTCTATAAAAGAAAAATAAAGAATGCGAAAATACAATCTTGGCAAGATTATTGTACTGCTGCCTCATCCAACCCATGGGGATACCTTACTAAATTATGTACGAATAAATTACGAAAGCAACAAATACTAATAAATAATGACCCTGAAACAATAACGCAATCAACTATTGATACAACCCTTTTAAACACCCTGAAGCAGCGAATGGATAGCTATTGTATCTCAGACTGCGCTGCAAAGGACACCCCTTGGCAGAGATCATTAAGAGAAAACATAAACAAACATATGAACACTGGTAACTCTTCTCAGTTTACTTATCAGGAAATAAATAACGCCATCGGTAGACTAAAAGAAGGAAAATCTCCAGGCGTTGATGGTATAACTGCCAAAATTGCAAAACATATTTGGGAAATGATTCCACAACAACTTGTACAATTATATAATGTATGTTTATTCGCAGGCATTTTTCCAGCCAGATGGAAAATTGCGAAAATAGTACCTGTCCCTAAACCAAATAAGCCCAGTGAAACAAGACCAATTTCTCTATTGCCAATTTTTGGTAAAGTACTTGAACGTCTATTAACAGATCGATTAACCTGGTTGGTTGAGAAAAATAACATACTTAACAACATGCAATTTGGCTTTAGACAGCAAATTTCCACCAGTGACGCACTAATTCATGTAGTACACAATATTAAAAGCCTACTTGAATATAACAAGTATGTCTTGGCTATTAGCTTAGACATATCCAAAGCATTCGACAGTGCCTGGTGGCCGTTTGTGTTACATCAAATCAGAAATACAGCCTGCCCAGCTGACATTTATAATCTATTTGTAAATTATTTAAGCACTCGTAAAGCCATTCTTGAATATGGTGG